TCTTAAATTGTAAACTCTATATGCATGACCGTGAGTTGAGTAACCAAGAAAAATTCCTTTATCAAATTTTTCATCAAACTTGCCAATATTTTCTTTCCCATTGTTTAAAACGAAACATGTACATCCAAAAACTCGAAATAGTTTAAGTTGGGTTTTCTTCCTTTGTACAGTTCATATGGGGTTTTCTTAAGCAAGGGTCTAATCAAGACTCTATTCAAAACATGACAAGCGAGTGTTTACTGCATCTGCCCAAAAGTATTTCGGTAAAGAATTTTCACACAACATTGTTCTAGCAAGTTCTACAATAGATCTGTTCTTTCTTTCCACAACACCATTCTCGTTGAGGAGTTCTTGGAGCAGAAAAATTGTGTTTTATGCCAAACTTTTCACAAAATGATTCAAACTTTTCATTTACAAATTCTCCACCATTGTCACTTTGAATTGATGTAATAAAATACCCTTTTTCATTATGTAAAACCTTGGCAAGCTTTTTGAAAGATTTGTAAGAATCAGATTTGGCTTTAAGAAAAATAGTCCAGGTAAATCTGGAAAAGTCATCAACAATTACCATGATATAAAGATTACCACCTAGGCTTTTATTCCTTGAAGGACCAACCAAATCCATGTGAAGCGAGTTCCAAAGGTTTAGAAGTTGAAACAATATTTTTGTTTGAAAAAGATTTTCTAGTTTGTTTGCCTTTCAAACAAGCTTCACAGATTTTGTCTTTCAAGATCTGAAGCTTAGGCAGCCTGAAACTAATTCTTTTGAAATCAGTTTGTCAAGATGTTTAAGATGTATATGAGCAAGTCTTCTATGCCACAACCAAGATTCTTCTTCTTTAGTAAGAAGACAACTTTGAGATGACATAGACGGTTTGATATTTAACATGTATATATTGTTTAACCTCTTACCTACCAACATTACCGTGTCGATTCTGGCTCACAAATAAGGCACTTTTCTCGGTTTGAAAGTGACTTTGTGACCAAGATCACATAACCGACTTATGCTTATCGGATTGTGCTTGAGACCTTCAACAAGAAGAACATTGTGAATGATTACTGATTCACCATCACCAATATCTCCGAACCTAGAATTCTTCCTCTGTTGTTGTCTCCATAAGTCACATGACCTCCATTCTTCAATTTCAACTTCCGGAATTTTGAAATGTCACCTGTCATGTGCCTTGAGCATCCGCTGTCTAGATACCAAAGGAACTCTTGTTGCTGTTCTCGAAAGATCAAACATCAAGTATTTGGTACCCTTACGTATTTTGGGTCCTTAGGAGTCAATTTTTCTGTTTAACATGTTTTGGAACCCATCTTTTCCTTCCTTGCGGCACAAAAAATTTTCTAGCATGACAGAATTTTATAGTATGTCCTTTCTTCATGCAATAATGACAAGATGATAAAGGGGATGCTCGTTGTTTTTCCGTATGAAAAGAAGTTCAAATATTTTTTAGTTTTTACCCCATTCTTAGGTTTGTACCCGATTCCAGAATGTTCAAACACACAATTTTGAGACCCAAGAAGTGCATCTAAATTCTCTTTGCCTTGAGTAAATTTAGACAAAGTTTTAACCAAGTAATCAACCTTATCTTGTAGAATAATACACTTTTCACACTTCTTATTAGCAGCAACATTATCGCCAGATGCATAGATTATATCTAGATGTTCTAAATCTGTTTTGCTTTCTAATAGTTCATTTTCCGAACTTTAACTCTATTTTCTAACCAGCTTATTTAATCCTTTTAACCGATTATTTGTATGAGATAAATTTCTGGCTTCACTATGCATTTCATTAAAAGCATTCAGTAATGTGTCGTAATTCATTTCATTCTCTCGTAGGAGTTGAACTTACATGTGATGAAGAGGATTCACAACCGACCATCAAGCACGTGTTCACCTCCTCACTTTCGGATTCAGAGTTGGAAGATGAATCATTGTCTTGTCAGGCTATATAAGTCTTTTTCCCTTTGTATCTTGAATCTTTCTTGTTCCGATTCTTGATCTTTTCCGGACAATCACTCTTTATGTGACCCTGTTTACCACAAGAATAACAAGTAATATTATTTTGAACAGATTCGATCTTTTTATCATTGTACCTTTTTACTTGGCCAAATCGTTTCTTTCTTCTAAGAAATTTTCCAAATTTCTTAACCAATAAAGTCAGTTCTCTCGATTCATCTTCTTCAGATCCACTGTTTTCTTCAATTGTCTTGAGAACAATATTTCTAGTTTTCTTTTCTGCATTCTCTTGTTCTTTGAACCGATTGATTTCCAATTCATGTTCCCTCAACTTACCAAAAAGTGAAGCGGTAGTCATTTCGATCAAGTCTCTTGATTCCGATATTGCTTGTCACCTTTGGTTGCCATGTTCTCGTCCAAACACTTTAAAATTTTGATGTTCAACTCTTCTTTGTCAAAAGTCTTTCCTAACCCAATTAGATGATTAACTATGTGCGTGAACCTTTCTCGCACATCCGCAATTGTTTCTCCTTGCTGCATTTTAAACAACTCATAGTCCCCGATTAACTCATGCTTTCTTGCCCTTTTCACATCAGACGTTCCTTCATGTGTAACCTCTAAAATTTCCCACATCTCTTTAGCAGAGGCACACTCGAGACACCCCGAAAAACTCATCAAGATTTAAAGCGAGAGGTAATAATATTTTTTGCGAGTATAATCATATTGGACTTTCCTATTTTCTACATCGGTTAATTCAGCCCAATCTTTTTCGACTATTTTACCATCTACGAGTATGAGTTGGTTTGTAAGGACCATTAACAATTGTTTCCCAAATGCCTCTATCAAGAGATTCAATAAAGATTTTCATTCTAACCTTCCGGAAAGAATAATTCACACCGAAAAAAGTGGAGGCCTGTTTATGGAGGCTCCTTCTAAAAATTCATCTTTCCCTCAGCCATTGGACCGATTCCTTGAGTAACTTACAAGAACCAGATCTCGATACCAATTGAAAGAATTAATGGTTGAGTTCAAGAGGGGGTGAATTGAACTTTAAAACTTTTTCGCAAAACTTACTTTCTTTTGGAAGAATGAGTTATCTTTATTTAATCTTTGTGAAGGTAGTTTGGTTTAAACACAACAAGTTTATTGACGTGAAAATAAAAGAGATGAAAGAAGAATATTAACACACAAATTTATACTTGGTTCACTCTAATCCAGAGCTACATCCAGTTCTTGACAAACCAGTCAAGTCTCACTAATACCAAGTGAAAATTTACAACCAGTAGATACTCACCAATCTACCTCAAGAACTATCTTGCAAACCCACAAGACAGAATCTTGAAAAACACCCAAGTAACCAAACCCGATTCATCGTACCAAGTGCAGATTACAATCCAACCTGCACAAACAACTTTTACAAAAGAATATGGAAAGAAAAAACCTGGACTTGAAGTTTCTAATTGTCCGAACCAATTCTATCAAGCACTTTCTCTCTCCGAATGACCACAATTATGATCACAAGCACCTTATGATATGAAAAAGATTCTTGAATGCGAGAAAGTCACGTATGAAAGTTTCACAGATTGATTTCACAAGTTTTCTCAAGTAGTGTGTTGTATTGTTTTTTCAAAAGATAGATCAAATCTGTATATATAGAGTAAATCGAAAAACGAACGTTTCATCTCGTTAAAAGCTGTTTTAGAGGGTCATAAGATAAGTTGGTTAGTAGTAAAACAGGTTTAGAAAAGACTCGATCGATTAAAAGCAAGTATGATAGATTAGATCGAGTTATGATCGATCAGAATGAAACTATGATCGATTAGATCGAGTTATGATCGATCAGAATAAAACTATGACCGATCAGAATGAGTTATGATCGATTAGAACAAAACTATGATCGATCGAGTATTATTTCAATCGATTAAAAGATCGGTTCAATCGATTGATTTCATTTAAAGTTCCATTTAATCGATTAAGACATCGATTCAATCGATTGATTTCATTTAAAGTTCTATTTAATCGATTGATTCGAGTTTTAATGGATTAAAACAACTTAATGAAAAATGACAACTCTCTGTTTCAATCGATTGAAAAACATTTTAACAGATTAAATTCCTGCAAACACTCAAGTATATAAAAAATAGTCTCTCTGTTTTAACAGATTGAAAAATATTTCAACAGATTGATTTTCTAAAAACTCTTAGATCGAAAAAGATCTTTCTGTTTCAACAGATTGAAAAATATTTCAACAGATTGATTTTCTAAAAACTCTTAGACTCGAAAAAGATCTTTCTGTTTCAACAGATTTAAAATCATTTCAACAAATTGAAAATGCGAAACTTGATATTGAAAATTCATTGAGTTATTTTAACTTGTTGATTCCGCGAATCAATCAATTGAATTTTCGATTATGTAAGACCATTTATTATGTTAAGTGATTTTAACAGATTGAAAAAAAACTTAGTTAATTCTTTTAATACTTAAACGTAAGTTTTTCATGCAGAAAAATGATTTTCAATGAGATGCATCATTTTAAGGTGCTTATCACAAAATATAATGGCCTATCAAGAGATTAAGTGCTAAAACTTAAAAACCTAATCATCTACACACCCACAACCTAAGTTATATTTATGTCTTCATCAAATCCACCAAGTGCTTCAAAGAGTGTTCACGACGCAGCTTGTTTCAAAATGTGACTGAGCAACCGATGGCAAACTTTTTCAAAATTTTCGCCAACATATTAACTAAACAGACAAATGTTACATTTTAAAATAACATCAGCTAGAACAACAACCTGGGAAATAGTTACATACATTGCTGCAAGGAGGAGCAGAAAATCATAAGGACGAAACCAGAAAGCTTTAGGAGCAAACACAAGAAACAATGCTGCTTGGACATAATGACATCACAAACCACAAAGGAATTCTGCAAGCCTTCATTGTTAAATAATCTCAGTCATATGCTTCAATAACATTCACGAGTCGAACCAACTGATCTGATAGTTAATAATATTTGGTTCTGTTCCTTCTGTTTGCTTAGAGCTCTGCCACTAGGGGTTCTTGTGCCAAGGTGAGTAGCGGTTTCTCTTCAATGACTAAATCAGCATTCACAGTAGGTGATTTTGCTTCACTTGTCTCATCCAATAAGACATTGCTCTCTTCAGTGGCTGCAGCTATTTCAACTTTCGCTTCCCCAGTTAAAATGGATAAGGTGGCAACTTCAGTTGTTACACTTGATAAGGAGGTTTTGTCATCATTCATTGCCTTAGATGGGGTCCGTGCAGATGCCGAATTGGATGAACTGGTCTTTTCAGAAGTCAGTCGAGGAGGAAGAGACTTTCGATGTGGCTTCTTTAGATGAACAGGAGTAATTCCTTTTGTGAGGTTAGTCTGAGACACTTTCTCATCCAGACTTAATCGACCTTGTCGAGCACTATTGCTAGTGTTTCCTTCTGACTCTGAAATTGTTGAACTCTTCTTACGACCAAGCTTGGGAGATTTAGCTCTTGTAGTTGGCATCTACATTCCAAAAGCTTTAGAAATTAAATTTGCAAATGACACAAAACCAAACTTGCAAACACAAAATAAGTATAAATTGACATCAACAGTCACGTGTCAGAGAAGAGGAATAAAAAAAGAATGATCAAAAGTGTGCTCAAAGAAACGTTCAAATAGAAAAGTAAACAAGACTTCATTTAACCAGTGAAAGGATAGAAAACTGGGTTTTAGTGTCACTTTAGAGAGATTTTTAAAACCATCTGCTGATATAAGAAAGAAGTTTCAAAATATTGTTTAAGCCTAAATAAAATTAGTTTGGAAACCTGATCAAGAATTCACGCATTGGATAAGTGAAAAGCCATCTAGAACAAATTAAGAATTATAAATTTTGTGCAATAAGATAGGTATCAAAAGTCATGTGGGCTTTGGAAAGTTAACAAAACCACCTATATTTTCAGAACCATAAGATATGTGCTATCAACAAATCACAAACCACATCTAAGGGTGCAACATGGAGTTCAAAGAAAGTAAATATATAACTGCAAAATTCAATCAGAATTTCAATTAGTCCCTAATTAGAATAAAACCATCAAATTGAACATAATTTATGTGGGACAAATAATTTGTTGTCCCTATGCTTTTGCCAAACTTGATTTTGGTCTTCTACTTTAAACATTAATTAGTTCTCAAACTTCAAAAAATATATGAATTTATTCTTTCTATAAACTTTGTGACAGTAAAAAATCATTACTAAATACTAAACTTAGGTAGAAAGAAGGAATAAAATCATATATTATGTGAAATTTAGTCTTCCATCAAATTTGTAATGATAAAAACCTATCACTAAATATTAAATTTTTGATATAAGGAATAATTAAAAGCACATATTTTCCAAAATTAAAGAACTGAAATCATCAATTTGAAAGAACAAGGACCAACGGAAAGACTTGATATTCAAAGACTGAGAAAAAGTGTTTTTAGAGGGCTTGAAGAACCCCTCTCATAGTTCTGTATTTATATAGATAAAAACTGATACAATAGAAAGATTACATTAAATGCACAGTCCTAGATTACTCCTCAGAACTAGGTGCAGAGATTATCTAACACTCAACCCCCTGCAGAGATTATCTAACACTCAACCTCCTACCTTAGGTATAATGATTACATATATTTTCTAATCTATTCCAACACTCCCCCTCAAGCTGGAGCATACAAGTTGTATGTACCAAGCTTGGAACAAATGAACTCAATCCGAGGTCCCCTTAAGGACTTGGTAAACACATCTGCGAGTTGGTCATTTGATCCAACAAACTCGGTACATATTTCTTTTGTCAACAACTTTTCACGAACAAAGTGACAATCAATTTCTATATGTTTAGTTCTCTCGTGAAATACGGGATTTGATGCAATGTGGAGTGCAGCTTGATTATCACAATACATCTTCATAGTCTGGATATCACAGAAGTTAAGCTCTTGAATGAACTGCTTTACCCATATAAGTTCACAAGCTAGTGACGCCATTGCCCTATATTCGGCTTCAGCTGTCGATCGAGCCACTACATTCTGTTTCTTACTTTTCCATGAAATAATGTTTCCTCCAAGGAAGACACAATATCCAGTGGTAGACCGTCTATCAACAGGTGAACCTGCCCAATCTGCATCACAGTACCCAGTGACCTGAATGCTTCCTTTATCTTCATATAACAATCCTTGTCCGGGAGCCTTTTTAAGGTACCTTAGAATGCGAATGATAGCATTCCAATGACCAGCACATGGAGTCTGCATGAACTGACTAACCACTCCAACAGCAAAAGATAGATCAGACCTTGTAATAGTGAGATAAATCAGTTTTCCGACCAGCCTCCTATATCTCTCTGGATCAGAGAATACTTCACCTTCTTCTATTGTTAATTTCTTATTTGGGTCCATAGGACTCTCTACAGGTTTACAGTCAATCATACCTGTTTCTTGTAATATATCAAGAGCATATTTTCTCTGAGAGATTACAACTCCATCTTTTGATTGAGCTACTTCAATGCCCAAGAAGTATTTTAGGCTTCCCAAATCCTTGGTTTGAAAATGTCTGCACAAGTACTCCTTCAGTTGAGATATTCCAACAGTATCATTTCCTGTAATGACTATATCATCAACATATACTATTAAGTAAACACATTTACCCAGAGATGTATGACAATAAAAGACTGAATGATCTGCTTCACTGCGTCTTAGCCCAAATTTTTGAACAATGGAGCTAAATTTTCCAAACCAAGCACGTGGTGATTGCTTGAGGCCATATAGAGAGCGATGCAATTTGCATACTAGTTCAGACTCCCCCTGAGCAACAAACCCAGGAGGTTGCTCCATGTAAATTTCGTCCTCAAGATCACCATGTAGGAAGGCATTTTTGATATCTAATTGATGAAGTGGCCAGTGACGAATGACAGCCATTGCGAAGAACAGACGAATAGTGGTCATCTTGGCCACGGGAGAGAAAGTGTCACAATAATCAAGGCCATAAACCTGAGTGTACCCTTTTGCAACTAACCGAGTCTTGAGCCGATCAACTGCACCATCGGGGCCGATTTTAACAGACATATACCCAGCGGCAACCAAGCTGCCTTTTGCCGGTGGAAAGGGAACGAGCTCCCAAGTAGCATTATGGTCAAGAGCACTGCATTTCGCAATCATGGCTTGTCGCCATCCAGGGTGATCAAGTGCTTCTTCCACATTTCTCGGAATAGCAATAGAAGATACCGAGGATAAAAGGGAACAATAGGAAGGCGACAATCAGGTGATAGCTAAGAAAATTATAAATAGGATGTGGGTTTCGAGTGGAGCGAGTACCTTTTCTCGGAGCAATGGGTCATCCTGAATCACCTCCACCAGGAGTCATGGTAGGAAGCGATGTTGGAGAAGAATCTAAAGTGGGGGATTCACCCTCGTCTTGGAGAACAGGACTAGCCATCGGGGTCCTATGATTGACAACATCAATTTGAGGGGAGGATGGTTCAGGAAGACTTGGATCACTACGGAGATCGATAGAGACATTGGAAATATTAGACTCAACTACTGGAATGGGAAGAACCTGCTGTATGACATGAACATCTTGAACAGAAGGAGAAAAGTAAGGAGTCTGATCAAAAAATGTAACATTGGCAGACATGTAGTACTTCTTGGTTTCAGGAGAGTAACACCGATACCCTTTTTGAAGGCGGGAATAGCCCAAGAAGACACATTTGATAGCACGAGCAAAAAGCTTGTCTAACCAGGAGACATATCATGAACAAAACATACACAACCAAAAACTCGAGGAGATGTGTGAAAGAGAGGATTATTTGGAAATAGAATGGAGAAAGGGATCTTATTACGAGAGAGGAAGATGGCATCCTGTTAATAAGAAAACATGCGGTTAAGATGGCATCCCCGGTGATGGACGAGAATATGAGCACCCAGCAAAAGAGTACGTGCAGTTTCAACCAAATGTCTATTTTTTCTTTCTGCTATACCATTTTGTTGTGGTGTATGAGGACAGGTGGATTGATGCAATATTCCATGTGAACTCAAAACAGTAGAAAAGGTGGAAGAGAAGTACTCTTTAGCATTGTCGCTTCTTAAAATTTTGATTACTTGACTGAATTGATTCTTGATTTCATTCAAAAAGGATGTAAAGATGGGTAACAATTCAGAGCGATCTTTCATAAGATAAACCCAAGTACATCGTGAATATTCATCAATGAATGTAACAAAATACCGAAAACCAAAAGATGAGATGCGACTGGGTCCCCAAATATCAGAATGAATAATAGAGAAACTGGAAGTACACTGTGATTGAGACCGTTTAGGAAAGGTAGATCTAACATGTTTCCCTAGCTGACATGACTCACATTCTAAGGTCTGGAGACCACTAAGTTCAGGACACATTCTTTTTAATTTTGACAAATGAGGATGGCCAAGCCGATCATGTAACATTTTAGGGCTCGGAGTAGCAACACAGGACACACGTGGACGAGGACCAAAACGGTATAATCCTCCAGCTTCATATCCTTCTCCAATCTGTCTCCCCGAACCACGCTCCTGTATAACAAAAGATTTGTTATCGAAGGTTATTGAACAATTTAAGGTTTTGGTTAACTGACTTAAGGAAATCAAATTGAAAGGACAATTAGGAATAAAAAGGACAGATTTTAGGCTTACGGAAGGAGATAAAGAAACTTGGCCCACTCCCTTTGAGGAAGCTTTAGAGCCATCTGCAAGGGTTATGAAATGTTGTTTTTCTTGAAAGGAAATGGTTGAGAACAAGGAGGTATTACCAGATATATGATCAGAAGCACCAGAGTCAATTACCCATGAATTTTGACCCTCCACAGATTGAGAAATGCAAGCAGTTGATGTGCTGGCAGTTTGAGAGGTATGTGCCAAGCTATTAGACTTTAACCGTAGATACTCTTGGTATTCGTCCTCAGTGAACTTGGAGTTGACGGTTTCAGCCTTGGAGACATTGGCAGTTTTGGGAGGAAAACCATGCAAGGAGTAGCAGTTCTCCTGTGTATGACCCATCCTCTTACAGTAGGTGCATTGGGGACGTCCTCGACCTCCACGTCCTCCTCCTCTGGTGCCACGTCCTCCTCTTCCTCGTGTGGCCACCATGGCAGATGGTTCTACTAGAGCCAGAGCTTCCTGAGTCTCAGACATTGGTACACGAATCAGACGTGTGATAAGGGTATCCATGGAAGGGACTTCATAAGTGGTCAGAAGTTGATCTCTGATATGGTTAAAGTCAGGATGTATTGCGCGAAGGATCATCACCATGTAATACTTGTCAAGCTTCTTTTTCATTTCATCTAAGGAATCGACTTCCAAGAACATCTTGAGTTCTTCCACAGCCGACTGGGCTCATTCATAAAGGACACCATATCATGATCTGTCATTTTTAGAGATGCCAGCTTATTTGCGGAATCGTAGAGACGTTGAATATCATTGGCATAAATGGTTTGAGCTTTCTTCCAAAAGGAGTGACAAGTTTTGAAGGCTCTAAGCGACATCAAAAGTCTTGGTTCCACTGATTGCCACAATAGAGCACATAGCTGAAAATCTGCCTGTTTCCACTGTTCAGCTTTTTCTTCCGGCACATGGCTTCCGTCTTTTTCAAGGTGGTCGTGATGCCCCTGACCGAGAAACCACATTTCGACGGTAGCAGACCAAGATAGATAATTTTGTCCGTTTAGTTTTTCGGAAGTAATGGAGGAGCTTCCAGAGAATGAAATTGCAGCCATTTCTGATCAAGAGGACAAAGACCAGTGAGGAGGGGGGCGAAAAACAGCAAAGAAGTCCGAAAGCCCAAGAGTGATTTTCGCAAGGGTGACTACTGGACTTCACCGAAATAAAGAGGCGGCGCGTGGCGGAGAACGAGCTTCCGGGACCGACGGGGTTGGCTGTCGCACGGCGAGACGATTCAGATCCGGTGGTCGCCGGCGAAAACTGGACGATCGGAGACGGTGGCCGGCAGCGGACGGTGGCCGGAGGTGGACGGTGGCCGGAGTCGGACGGTGGCCGGCGGCAGACGGTGGCCGGAGTCGGACGGTGGCCGGAGTCGGACGGTGGCCGGCGGCAGACAGCGGCAAAAACAGTGCCGGATACTACAGAAACAGGCAGAGCAGGATCGACCCGCTCTGATACCAACTTGATATTCAAAGACTGAGAAAAAGTGTTTTTAGAGGGCTTGAAGAACCCCTCTCATAGTTCTGTATTTATATAGATAAAAACTGATACAATAGGGAGATTACATTAAATGCACAGTCCTAGATTACTCCTCAGAACTAGGTGCAGAGATTATCTAACACTCAACCCCCTGCAGAGATTATCTAACACTCAACCTCCTACCTTAGGTATAATGATTACATATATTTTCTAATCTATTCCAACAGAAAGTTTGAAAAAAAAACTAGGACCACAAACATATTTTCCCCTTTTTTTAAAAGAGAAAGGATAAAACTGAAACTTGTAAATAAAATACAATACCAAAAATACAATTTAGCTTAAATTTTATTAAAATGATGTTTCATTCAGTTTTCTTTTACTTATTTTTAATTAGTTTATTATCAACATAGTAGCTGCAATCAAGTTTTGAAATGAGTAGGAGAACAAGATGTCATTTGGCTCATTAAACTATTAAATTTGAGATTTGAGAAGATGCCACATGGGCAAAAGAGGAGAATTTTGATTCATACATTTAAAAACCAGAGGTATTCAAAATTGCGTAAACTATAGAGCAATAAAACTTATGATTCACACTGATATTATGAGAAAAGGTGATGAAGCCATTGATTAAAACAAAAAATTAGGATTGCAAAGAATCAATTTGGTTTCATACTAGGAGAGTCTAGAACAGAAGCCATTTCATCTTTAACCGGAATTGATGAAATGGTATTGAAGCAAAGAAAGAAAAGACTTACATATGGTTTTTATTGACTAGGAAAAAACATATGAGGGGATGTCAAGTTTTGGAAGGCCTTAAAAATGGAAACACTTATATTCAGGCTATACAAGGCATGTATGACGGGGTAAATACTAGTCTAAGAATTCCTAGAGGTGAGACTATGAACTTTCCTATAAGGATAGGTTTACATCAAGGCTCAACCTTGTCATTACTGGTGTAGTCAAGATTTGGATGTGCTTACCATGGACATACACAAGATTCTACAATGTAAAACACATGATATAGTTTTTTAGTTGAAGAATCAAAGGAAGAGGTTAAACTTTAATTGGAGATCTGGCGACATACTTTAGAGCCAAAGGGTTTCTACTTGAGTAGGAGCAAGACAAAGTATATTTGCAATTTGGTAATAAACAAGAAGACAATGACTTGGAAGGTAAAAATGGGAGAAGAAGTCATACCATAGGTTTCTATGTTTAAGTATCTAAGATCAATATTACAATATGATGATGAAATTAATCAAGATGTCAGTCACACAGGAAACCAGTTGGGTGGTTGAAATGAAGAAATACTGTAATTGTCACAACTGCTGAAATTTTTTTCAAAACTAAAATTATTTAACTACTATTTGAGATCATGTATCTATCTATCAAGGTGCATAAAATGAATTAGTCAAATTTTCAATGGAGAAGAAATATTGGAATTACTTAAATATAAACTTCGATAAATAATTTACTCATCAGAAGGCTAGTAAAATGATATTGATGGATGAATTATACTGGATTGGACTCAGACATAAATTTAGTCTAAGGCCCAGGAATTGCTAGCCCCAACCCTGCGACATACACAGACCTGTTTGGGAATGTGCGCGGGGAATTGCACCCCCTCATTTTTCCAAAATTGCAATGGAATATATTCAATTTTATACCCTCTAACTTTGTATTGACCCACTCTCCAATGATAGACTCATGTATTAATATTAGAATGTGTATAATCATATATTCTACAGTAATAACATTTATTATTTAATTTTTAAAAATAAATTGCCACTGCTCCAGGGTCTTGGGTCCAAGTCCACCACAGCATACACTATTGATGGAATGAAATGGCATCAGAAGAAAAGAGCCTCAATCATCTGGGGAGGCCCTGGCCAAATTCATTCAGAAGAATAGAAGATTGTTGTAATCTCTAACTATTGAAACCACATAAATATGCAGGGTGACCGCGTTTGCATATAACAACCGAATATGCATTACACATGAATTAAAAAAAATCAGAAACTAATTAGCAAGATTACAAATAGAGAGATTGCATGCAATCAGACAGAGAGACAGGAATGCACACATACACAGAAACTTACCTTTTTAACTTCCACCCTGGGAGGTGGAGGTTCCTGGTAGAAGCTTGGCATTGGAGTTGCTTTAAATCCCAGACTTTTTCTAAGCATCTTAATCTCAGCTTCTTGGGTCTCCTATAAAAGAAGTTAAAGGTTGGTATGATTAAAAGGCAACATCTGCTGACATTTCAGTCTAGATATCAAATATTATCACCTTGGTTTTCGCTTGCAAGTTACTCTCCTCCACTTCCTTTGCATGAATCTTTTCCTCAAGCTTAGTGTAGAACTGGCCACCATAATAATATTTTTTTTAAAACTGACATTATTCAAAAGAAACCCTCATGTAATACAAAAGGAAGAAACAAGTATTAATTATTTACCTCTCTTCTTCTCTCAGCTCGCTCATCACACTTGAAACTGAATCCATAATTTGGGAGCATCCCTACCCTGCGAGGTTTGGCATCTTCTGCAGTAGGACTTATAACTGGATTAAGGATAAAGCATAATCATACACTTTGGCACTCTCAAACAAACTTAGAATATAAATATACTGTAGCTCTCCATTTTCAGTCCCAATAAGAAAGAATGCTCAACCAGAAAATAAAAAAGGATACGAAGAAGATTCTGCTTCTCCTTGAAGATTAAGATTATCAGGAGGCCCTTTCTTCGATAGTCGTGGTCTGGACTTCTCCCTGTTTCAGATACCGTAACTAGTCAATTAATGAAGATGAGCATGATTCATAACCATCATCCAACTAATTCATGATGAAAATTCAAACATAACTGAAAAGCAGTACATACTTTGATGCTTCAGAAGGTGCCACGTTAGACTTTCCAGGGTGCTGAAAGGATAAAATGTAAGAACTATGACAAAACTATAACTTTTATTAATCAAAACCAAAAAGGTAAAAGAGGAACCCAAGGGCGCACATCTATTTGAATCCCTGACCACTTACGAAAATTATCATACGCAAACATAGATAACAACAAAGTTTACCTTGGATAGTCCATCCTGTTTGTCACTCAATGATCTATTTTTTATTTGCTGTCTTGGGATAGAGTCTGAAGCAAAAGTACCATTTGAAACAGTAGATGCTACCTCTTCATCTTTTCCATCTTTGGTCTTTTTAATTGAACTTGCATGAACACTTCTGGGACTTGGTGACTTTGCATTCTTATTCTTAACAGGACCTTTTCCTACTTTGAATTGCTCTGTACGGTCTATGATTTCTTCTTCCTCTTCCTAGAATTGAGAAAATACATGAGATGGGATACTAATTTGAATAGTATTAATGAGTTAATTACATCAATTCAAGGGAAAAAGAATCCTCTCACCTTAGAAATGGTGACATTGTTCACACCTACATAATCACTTGATTCTTCCTTGATTTCTGCCTTGGATGAGTAATTAGCTGGAGTGCTATCATACTGGATGAAATTTTCAAAGATTCCATTTGGAGCTTCAGTTTCGATAATTTTAGTAACACCAGGGCCTACGTTTGAATCAATACCGTCCTTTCCAGAGTTAGACAATTTGCCATAAACACCGTTTGGGTGGACCTCTTCAAGTCCATTGGCTGGGAGAAGGTTGTTTGGATCCATCATTCAAGCCAAGCTACAAGTTTCATAAATACAATGACCAACTACTTAGAGATAGTGTAACACAAGAGGAAAAGGAAAAAATTGTAATCATACAGAACAAGATTGGTTATGTGAAAAATTCATCTTTTGTCCTGTAAGCAAGTATGGTTTCAAAAAATATCTAGAAAATCCCAATATACTTTATTTACGATCAAAAGATATTGATTTCCATGTTTCTGAAGACAAATTCACCACCCTTTGTATGCTTAACAGAATGCAGGGTACCCACTTGAAGAAAGAAAGATGGGAATGACATGCAAAAACAACATGCCTGTCAGGTGGTGCCACGAGTTACTTACCAGTCAAAATGATGAAACCAAGATAAAGCAAGATAAAATACAGTAATAAAGATTATAAACAGGGCACTTCAAAGTCATGGACATTAATGAATAATGTCGAACACTCTAGTCTAGGTAGATAAAAAGATGCATCTAATCTCCACCTGGTGGCGCCAAGTGCATGAAGACAAATTTTGAAAAAAGGGGCTACTTTTACTTGATTCTAAAGCATTCTCTTAGGTCTTGACCAAATACTTAGCTATGAACTAACATCAACAAAATAAGAAGAGTTAAACCGAGCAAATCAAATCAGCGAATAGTAACAAAAGTCAGATTAGCATTCTCGACAGAGCATTCCTATTTCCAAAAACAAAACTTTGATCCCAAAAGGGTGGCACCAAACAATTGACAAAGCTCCATTTTGCCACAGAATCCAAATCAACAAGTACACTACCATCTTAACTAAAGCACAGTACTTGACATGTGCAGCGAAACAAAAATGAGATTTTGTTGAGTTCCCAGAAATTATTACCTGAGGAGTCAGTGTCAAGAGCCGAATGGCATCGTGCGTTGAGAGATCTGAGAAATGGGGGATCCGAGTCCGACTAACAAGATCCGAAAGATTCAAACTGTGGTAGAAGATGTTGGTGATGCTGATGCTTTTATCTATTTCTATTATTATTATTATTATTATTAATTCTTAAAAATAAAATAAAATAAAAAAGAAAACAGTGAAAAAAGAGAGAAAGAAGAGCGTAAGGTTGAGGGGGAGAAGAGAAGTGTGGTGCAGGTGACAAGGTTTCATTTCAAATCCAAATGCTGAATTTCAATTTCCAGGTCAGGTCAAGTCGCTTTCTCTACAGTACTCACAAATTACGGTTTCATCAAGTTGTAGGTTACACAGTGCTTAATCTCCCTGTAATCAGGGAGTGTTAAGGCAATCTAAAGTAATCTGAACTTGTCCCCAAAATTTATTACCTTTAATTTATTGAAAGTCACTTACTTTATATCATATCAGCTTAATAGAATGAATAGGTTATGTTATAATGTCACTAATATATATATATACACATGTATATATTTAATTAACGTTCTCGAATTTTAAAGTAATATACTTTGATATCATAAAAAGTAGAGAAAAGAGTAAAAATTATCGAGTAAAAATAGTAGAATTAAAAGTAAAAAGAGAAATTGGGAATAATAGGATCGTATTCTCGTTTAGAAACATACAAAGCAATATATACACAAATATGTATTTTTAATTTGATGATTTTGGGATAATAAGTTAGTTATTGACTCGTATAATTAAGTTATTCTAATATAAGAGTTTCCATGTTTACAGCAAGAATTATAGGATATGATTCAATTTTTTAACACTCTAGGAGTTGGAGAGTGAATATTCACTCTGAACTTGTTTTTCTTTGTAAGAAAAACAAGTTCTAATGGTTTAGTGAACACATAAGCAATTTCTTTTGCTGAAGGAACCTACTTTGTTGCAATGGTAGATTAGATACAATGTGAACAACTGTTTTATTACCATAATACAATAATATATATCTCAAAATTCGTCAACAGTAGCTATGTTCAATACAATTTATAATATGCACTAGTCATAGTTTTATATTCAACTTCAGAGGATAACAGAGAAACTGCCTTTTACCTCTTTGTTTTCCAAAAAATTAGTAATGATTATTGAATTTTTGACAAACGTACTAAAATTATCAATTGCAGTATAGTATTTCGATTAAATAAAAGTCGATCCCACAAAAAACTGTTTTAATGGAAATTCCAAATCATATGATTATTAAGTGGATTAAAACAAAATGAGTTTTGCATAAAGAGTTGAATTGAAATTAAATAACAAAGAACTGTAAATTATTTAGAAAAGATCAATTAAAGGCACTTATGATTAATTTCCTTCATTTTCCCTTTTTTACAATGACTATGTCCAATTAAGATCATCAATTAATCTAACAATGTTGATGTCACATACTCAAATCATCTATATTGATTCCTCACACATGAAATTCATAAGAAAACATAATAAATGTTGATTTCTCACACAATTAAGAGATTTTCCAGCATTAGGTTTAGAGTGTTAAGCAATTGATACATTCATTACATTCCTGTCAATTAACGTAACAAATATTCTTACCATAATTTAGAGTTCAAGATATATTTTTCAATCATATCCCAAACATCAAGAATAAATCATTCAAAGGCACAAAAGATAAGAATAACAACACCAAAACATAAATTAATATATCAAAATATCACCATGACACAAAATAGTTCAAAGGAAGTGCATCTAATCCGAAGAGAATGAAGTTAGTCACTCATGATGGTCATTACAATGCTCTAAAATGAGGAAGAATTGAAGAATCCTTGAATAACAGAACAATAGTCGTGCCTCTTCTCCAAAACCTAAAATTGTATCTCAAAACGTGTCTTATCTTTTTATAGGAAAATTTGGGCTCGGTCTCGCATCTTTCGCTCAAGCAAAAAAGTGTTCGCTTGAGCGAGTAAGTTCCAAAGAAGTTTAACTAATTTTCGCTCAAGCGAAAGTCTATCTCGCTCGAGCGACTTTCATGTTGAAAATCTTCTTCTTACTTTCAGTTTTTGCTTCAATTATGTTGACAATTATGCTCATTGCTCTTGTATCAAGGTATTCTCGAATTCCTCTTACATTGGGAGAAAAATAGATTAGAATTGACATACGTTAAGTGATTTCATAATAATTAAAAGCATAATTATATGAACTTTTACCATTTAACAACTCCCCTCAACCTAGAATCTTGTTTGTCCCCAAACAAAGTAATTTTTCCAAACACAAAATCATCACATATTATCACTTTATCTTCTAGAACCACAACATAAAAATATTTTTCTTCCAAATGAAAATAGGATATATAAGCATTAAAGTTACAGAAACTAACAAAGGATAATTAGTCATCAACTGTCCTCAGAGAAGCATAATCTCTCAAATAGAGTAATAAATAATCATCTCTAACTCTTACGGGTAAGTGTTTATCTCATTCAATCACTTCATTTAGATATTCCAATATTGATAATCATCTTCAAACAATCAACATTTGTTAAGTAAGACTTAAATCAAAAGGTCGTTTGAGACTTGTAATGAGGTTAGGCTAAGAAGGAATTCATTGGTTTTTCTAAGATATACAAAAGTATTTGAGAAATTAAAATCATATGAATGATTCTTGTTTAACATTTCCTTAATTCAGGTCTCAGACTTCATGTTTTTGCTCCAACATAAAGATAGTGAATTAACAATCTCACCAGTTATCATTCACACCACTTTGAATTTCTTTTTCCTTTCCTCATGTTTTGCATTTATCATTTCGGCTTAGCCTCAATATTTATGCTTTTCTTTTCCCTTTTTCTCAATCTCTTTTTCTCTCTTTTTTTTTTATTTTTTTTTTAGCAATACCCGTAGGAAAACAATAGCAATACCCAACAATACCCGTAGGAAAAATGATAACATTCATAATCATTTCATTTCTCAAATATAGGAAGGTGGATAAATATTGTTTAGGCTTAAGGGTTCTATTTAAGAAACAATATTGTTTTTTGCTCAAATGGGGTTCAAATGGATGTCATATAATTAATGTAGAGTTGACTATTTGGCTCTAGGTTATATCTACTTTCACTACACAAGAAAAAATGTCTTTATCATTTTCAAGTCTCGCTAACATGCAATCACATCAAATAATCAATCAATATCAGTTATCATCATAAAGTGTTGACGTTCAATTTGTCTGTTTTTGGTCCACTCCTCATTTGGGTTTTGGCTAGCTTCTCCAATTCAGTTAATTCATAGTTCTCCTCGTCAATTCCTTTTTCATTATCATACTCATCATCCCAAAATCACTTGTTATTGGAAATAATCAAAATGATTTTTCAAGTTTCATATTTGAATTAGACAATATGCAATAATTTCATATATGGTTCTAATAACAATGTGCGAGACAACAAAAGAATTTAATCACATCACATTAAGAACATTAAACAAATTAAAGTTCCAAATATCAATTCAAAATATCACAAACAAACCAAATTAACAAAACAAAAGACTTAAAACATCAAATTAACAAAATAAGGAACTTTAAACACATCAAAATAAAAAGAAATAAATTGTCTCCCTCTTATTCATCTTCACTTGATGTTTCTTCTTCTTCCTCTTGTGCTTCTGTCTCACCCCCTTCTTGAAAAGGTGGACTGTCCCTAGGCCATTAAAGTAAGGCTTCAAAGTCTTGAGGAGAAGTTCACTATGTACCTGGAGCAATCTTGCAAAGAAAGAACCTAAGGAAGAAAAATGCACAAAAAATTTAAAATGTAAAAAGAAAAACAAATTCAAAACACTGAGTTGCCTCCTAGGAGCACTTGTTTAACGTCATTAGCTCGACGCCTATTTGTTTTATGGTTCATGCAGGTGAGTGATCAATGTGATCTATACACATTTTCCATCCTTTAACTGTCCTTGTGGGAATGAATTTATTCTTTTCATTGCGAATAACTATCATCCCAGGATTCACCTTGCGACTGTCAGAGATTGGGTAAATCATACTTGCTTCAGGAGGTTTCAGTACCTCTTTTTGAACAACTTCCTTCATAGTCAGATTGAGATGTCTTTGGGATTGTGCAACAGACTTGTAATCTTATTTT